GTGCGGTGCCGGAGGGACGGACGCGGTGCGCAGGTCGCGCCCCGCAGATCCCGACTCAGCCGAGCGGCTCCGCCGCCGCCAGGCAACTTTGGCTCCGCTGCGGGCCCGCCCCCGCCGCCACCCGATTGGCCACGAACCGTGATTGGCATCCAGGGCCACCACTGCGGATGGCGGAGGGGTGGGGCGGGGATGGGTCCCGGTGCCCGGGGCTGCCGCAGGGGATCCCAATCGGACCCAGCGGTGCCTCCAGTTGACTCCAGTAAAGCCCACCGTGGTCCCACCTGTGGGCTGTGTGACCATCCCCGAGTGTCCCACTTGGTCCCAGTTTGACCACGGGTTGATCCAGTGTGGTCACTGTTGGCCCCAGCATAGCCCTGGTTGTTCCAGTGCTGGGCCAGTTGGTCCCAGAGTGGCCACGGGTAGTCCCAGTGTGGTCACTGTTGGCCCCACTGTAGCCCTGGGTGCCCCAGTTGGCCCTGGGGTTATTCTAGTTTGGCCATGGGTGGTCCTGGTGTGGTCACTGTTGGCTCCAGGATTAAGCCATAGACACCCCAATATGGCCCCAGTTGGTCCCATTTTGGCCATGAGAGGTCCCAGCGTGGTTGCTGGTGGCCCCAGGCTAGCCCTAGTTACCCCAGTTTGACTACAGGTGATCCCAGTGTGGTCACTGTTGGCCCCAGGGCAGCCCTGGCTTCCCCAGTTGGTCCCAGTTTGGTATGGGTTGTCTCATTGTAGTCACTGTTGGCCCTGGGGCAGCCATGGTTGCTCCAGTTGGTCCCAATTTGGCCAAGGTGTGGTTGCTTTTGACCCCAGGGTAGTCCTGGTTGCCCCAGTTGGCCCTGGATCTGCCCCAGTTTGACAATGGGTGGTCATAGTGTGGCCACGGTTGGCCCTAGCATATCTCTGTTTGTCCCAGTTTGGCCACTGGTAGTCTCAAGTGTGGTCACTGTTGGCCCCAGCTGATCCCAGTTTGGCCACAGGTGGTCCCAGTATGGCCACAGGTTGTCCCAGTGTGGACACTGTTGGTCCTGGGAAAGCCCTGGTTTCCCCAGCTGGCCCTGACTTGGCCCCAGTTTGACCACGGGTGGTCCCACTGTGGTTGTAGTGGCCCTGGGGTGGTCCCCTGACACTCCAAATGCCTTCCCTCCATGCCCACGGTGCCAGGCAGCCTTTGGTCCCTGCTGCTTCCCTCCAGTGTGGCATATACTGATTGTGGAGGAGGAGGAGGAGGGAGCAGGAGCTGCCTCCATCCCTGCCTGACACCCGGAGGCCTGTGCATGCAGAGAGGAATAAGACAGACATCCATATCCATATCCCAGACTGTCCTCAGGGGCTTTCCCAAACAAGAAACAGATAATTAGATAAATAAAACAGATAAAGCCATGGGGGCAGAGCTTCACATGCTCCCAGGCTACACAATGTGCAGGGACTTCTTGGGGTTGCTCCCTCTCCCTCTTGGAGCATTCCAGGATTTTACTTACAGAGAAAGGGACATGAACTGGTTTTGTTTGGATGGAAAATCCCAAGCAGGCTTTGCCTCCATGAGCACCACCTCTGCTTTCACATGGAGCTCTCAGCAACATCCTGTTTGCTGAGCTCAGCTCCGCTTAACCCAGATCTCAAATCCAAGATGCTTCCCCATCCCAATATGACCGAGCTGCGGCACATGGAGTTTGCTCGTCTCCTCCTCCCTCAGGGATAAGAGGCTCCAAGCTGAGCCTGGAGCAGCTGCAGGATGCATTGCAGCTATTTTTACCATCTCCCAGCTGTTCCAGGTGTGTGCAAGGGAAAAGAGGTGGAAAAAGCGCACCTGGGACCCGATGGGGGGGGGTATCCAAGGGCCCTGGAGGGCACGTGCACTCACACACACAGCACAGGGCTCTCCCCGCCCCAGGGAGGCAGAAAGAGGTCCAAGGACTGGAGCTCTTGAGTGTGGCCATCAAATCCAACTGAAAAAGGAAAAGGAAAAAAACACAGGCAGGGGACACAGCAGGGACAGGGATCACCTTACCAGGGAGTGTGGGAAGGCTGGTGTGATGGTGGGGCTCTGTCACAGATCAAAGCAAAGCCTGAGAGGGCCTTCCCACACTCCTGTTTGCTAAAATCCATGCTCTGTCCCCATTGGGATGCCTCAGGGTCAGCATGAGTTCCTGTGTGGGAAGGAGCAGCTGGGTAGCGAGGGAAAGCAAAGTCCAGGGCAAAATTGCCAGTGGCAGGAGGGAGCTGGTGCCTCCAGCTCCTTCCACAGGTGCTTCCAGAGCACCCTAAAAGCCACAGCTGGGAATGGTGACATGGCTCCAGCTGAGGGGGACACCAGGGCTCTGCTCCTCTCTCCAGGACCACAATGGGCTGGAATTAAGGGAAGCCCCCACTCAGCAGAATTCCAGAAATAAACAATGCTGTGTTTGGCCTCCTCACGTTCCTTCCTCACGGAAGAAACACGGGAGATGTTTGAGTGGAAATATGGAAGTTTGGGGCAGAATGCAGAGGTGAGGCAGGCAACATCAACACTGCAAGACATCTCTGCCTAGAGAGACCCCAAAACCTGCCCGGACCCTCCGAGGGAGATTAGGTTAAAGGTACAAACCCTTATGGGGGGCACCTAATTCTGCCCCCCAGCCACTGCCAGACTGTCCCAGAGCTCATCCCACTGCGGGGCTCTCCTGACTCCCCCAAGTCCAAACCTCACAGCACAGGGGCAGGAGACTCCATGGCTGCCTGGGATCAGCACCACGGCCACATCTTGCACAGCATTTGCCAGTGCCAGTGGAGCTGCCCAGGGCTGGATGGACATGATCCCTGAAGGGTAACACTGCCTGGGAATGGGAGATAGGAGCAAACAGGAGCTGAGAGCCCATGGAGCAACCAGGATGTGTGCAGGATTCTCATCTCCTGGACCGTGTTGGCTTCGCCTGACAAAGAAAAGCATCTGTGGAGCAGATAAATAAAACCAGGCAGTGCCTGGGGCCGCTTCCCAAAGCTGCCATGTGCTCTTCCAAACCAGCTATCATCAGCTCCTTCTCCAGTGATCTGAAATAGCAGGAGGGAAGCCCTTCAGCTGCATCATGAATCATCCCTGGGAGGCAGAGTGGTTATTTTTATGGTTCTGTGGCTCACGTGGAGCTGCCAGTGCATCCCTCAGAGATGGGCTGCGGCAGCAGGACACACTCCTGTCCCTGCCGGGGGCTGCTCCCATGGGGACCAGGAATCCCAAGGGCCCAGCATCCCAGGAGGTTCACTATGAAGGGAACGTGATGGTGAATGTCATCACAGGTTTGCCTTTGCTCAGGGGAAAAGGGAAAAGCTGTGCTGCTGTGGGGGGGGTTGGATGGGCACAAGAACAGCCCTGTGGAGCTCAGGATGTCAGTGAGTCCTCTCTCCTCTCCCTGAGCCTGATGGCTCCCATGAAAGCCACTCCCTGTGCCAGGGTCTCTCCTCTTTGGGCAGCATTTCAGACCACCATCACCCTCCACCACAGCAGAACTAAACAAGAAGAGAAGGAGGGGTGGATGAGGAAGACTTAGCATATGCCTGAGCTGGGCACCCCGCAGGAAACCCTGCAGCACCTGCCACCCCAAGGTGACAAACATTGACCTTGTAATGAAGGAAACAGCAGGCAGGGACCAGAGCCTGTGCCCACCCACCTGCCACCCCATCCTCCTGCCCTGGCTCTGAAGGGCAGGAGCCCCACGGATCAGAACAATGGGAATGTTCTTCCAGTTTGTCTGGAAAAGCCCCATTTGATGTGGTGACAGTGTGACAACAAACACGAGTTCTTCCCTCTCAGACAAAGGGGTCACTCAAGACAAGCTGTGTGTGCCACTGCCCTCCTGGGCTCTGGTTTGGGGGTGCCAGGGCCTGGCTGGCCCTGCTGCCGAGCTCTAGAGAGCTGGGAAAGGGGAGGGTGCAGGGAGCTGAGCCGTGGGGTTTGGCACCTACACCTGCACACCACAGTCCACACCTGTCCGGCTGTAAAAACAACCCCGTGGCAGCACAGTGAGCCAGGGACTGTGCCCAGATGTGGAAACAGAGGCACAAGGATGCAGACAGGAGGCCAGGCTGTGCCACCCAGCACCCACCAGCAGCCTGGCCAGAGCCTGTGCTCCCATTACCTGCTGGCACAGGAGCAGGGTGAGCTTACACAACACAGTCAGGCTGAAATATTTATCAGGCTGTTTAAAGGCAAACCAGGCAGGAGGCCGGGCAGGAGGGGAGCAAGCACACAAACATGGGGTGGTGGCCATGGCCCCCTTGAGCCCGCTCCAGGCTGCCAGGGGGTCCTTGGGAACTCCAAACATCCCTCCCTGAGGGTCCCCAATGTCCCTCAGTCACAGCATGGTGCAGAGAGGGTTGGGGCACTCAGGGTCAGGGCTGCCACTGGCAGCCAGTGTGTCCCCAGTGAGCAAGGACACGGGAGCTCGAACTTTGGGCCAGGAATTGGTGCCAGCAGGTGCCTTTAGGCAGCACCAAGAGGTGCTGGGGCAAACAGGGGAAGCTGGGAAGTCACAGGGAGCCTGCTGGCGTGGTGGATGCATGGACTGGTTTCACACTGGCCCCATGCTGCCACACTCTTCCCAGCGCAGGTGCTACAGCCAGGGACCCTCTCCATGCAAATGCTGCCCCAAAACCAGGGGGAAGGCAGGGAGGGGGCCAGGCAGAAGAGCAGCCAAGTGGGGACAGGGGCTGCCAAAAAGAAAAGCAACCCTCATCCAGACCCATCACCACATCCCCCTGCAGCACAACCTCTTTGGAGGAGCAGCAGGGGCAGGATCAGCCCCAGCTGCCACCCCACACATGGGAGCGTGTGGAGTTGAAGGGGGGGAAAAAAACCCCCAAGGACCAAAGCACCTCCTGCAGCCCCAGGCACAGTCAGACCTGGTCATGCATTTCAAGTTTGAAATGGCAAAAAAACCCCAAAACATCACCCCAAACCACTTTGTTTCTCAACTGGGGGCCCCACCACCCCTAAAACCCCCAGGCACCTGAGCATAGCCAAAGAGCAGAGTCAGTAGAAACCTTTATTAAACACGAAGCTCAGAGGAACACAAGCTTATTAAATGGCAGTAAAAGTGAAAGTGCGTCTCCAGCCTGGCCCAGGGGGACCCCAGGACCCCCCTCTCCTCCCCTCCCATCCCAGTGGCCTGGGGATGGGGAGACAGAGTCGAAAGGCTGAAAGGCTGCACGGGGAGGGGAAGAAAAGCCTGGAGACAGCGTTGGGTCCTTACCTGCAGAGATGCACTCCCTGGGACACCTCTGTGTCCCCTAAGGGGACAAGCCCATGGTCCCGGGGCCACCAGCCCCAACCAGCCCCGTCCCCCCTCCTGCAGCCACTGCCACAGCCGTGGCCTTGCCAGCCTCATTTTGGACACGAGCAAAGCCAGGATGTGCTGGCAAGGCCCCGGTGGCCTCCTGCTCCTTCCTGCCCCCTCCATGTCCCGGGAGAGCTCCCACACGCCATAAATAATAAATAAATACCCCATGCTCAGCCAGGCTACGGGCAGCCCCCCACACAGGGGGGACAGCCCTGACCCAGCACCCCCCACATCTCCACCACCCCCTTCCAGCACAACAAACCCTCTCAGCACCCTCACTCTGCTGTACAGCCCCCCCCAAACCCCCACGGAAATGAAACGCTGTCCCCAGGGGACAATAATAAATTAATCAAATCTATACACAGGACTGCTTAAAGCTCTGGAATGGGCTCCTGGGGGGCTGCCCTGGGCAGTTCCCCCGTGACCAGGGCCCTGTGGGGGGGTCCCCTGAAATGGGAACCCCATCCTGGCATCCCCCCTTGTGGGGCTGGAGCTGGGGATGCCACTGCTCCCCCGCCTGGCTGGGGGGTCTGGAGGGAGAAGAAAATATTGCAAAAAGGGGATGGGAGAGGAGCGGCGGGCGCTGCAGCCAGAGGGGCCGCCTGCCCTGCCCGCCCTGCCAGGGCTGCCCCCCTCGCCTGGCAGCTCCCCCGAGCACCTGGGCAGAGCTTCAGAAGTCCAAGGGGGTGAAGTCCCCAAAGTTGCAGTCGAAGAGCTCGCTGATGCCCTCGCCCTCCTCCAGCCCGAAGTGATAGTCCTGCGCCTGCGGCGGCGACAGGTTGATGAACTCATCTGCCAAGAAACCTGCCAAGTCCTCCCTGCTCTGCTCCAGGAGAATGTCCATGGAGGCCAGAGGTGACAGGCTCACCTCCTCCACCTTGCTGGGCAGTGCACTTGTCCCTGGCAGCAGCGCTTCTGTGGGGATGGGAAACAGCTGTAAATCCCACAGAAGTTGCCAAATAAACCCCCCAAAACCCCATTTTTTTGGGCTATGGAGAACCCGGTTGTTCCCACCTCCCTGCCTTGCTGGGGTGCCCAAGCATCATCCCAGCTCCTTGCTTGTGCTGACAGCTACAAACACAGCCAGAGCCACCATGACATCGCACCAACATCCCTGTGCCCAGCCCCACCTTGCTCTCCAGGAAGCAGTGGCATGTTCACATCCTGGGTGGGATGCAGGAGTGGGGAGGCTCTGGACTGTGAACACCTGGGAGACGAGTCCTCTGTGGAGGCTTTGAAGGGGCTCTTGACAGGGCTGCAGACCCCTGAGCTGTCCTCAGGGCAGAGGAAGACATCGATGGGGCCCTGAGTGCTTCGCATGGAGACCTGGAAAGCCTGGGAGAGAGGGGAGTGAGACAAGGAGGTGCAGAGATGCCCAGGGAGCACTGGGCTGTGCAGAGGGGTCAGAGGGTGACCCCAACTCACCTCTGCTGGGTCTGAGACCTGCAGCTGGGTCTCTGGGGGGGCTTTGATAACCATCACCATCTGCTCCGAGGGGTCCACGATGCTGCGGAGATCCTGGCAGGTCACATAGGCTGCGGTGGGGCGGGTCAAGGAGCAGACACAGGGATCATTCCCTGCAGGGACCGCAGCCGGCCGGGCTCATCCCGGGGCTCACCCACATCCCCCTCACCCAGCCAGTCCCATCCCATAACCAAAGGATATTGCTGGTTGGCGGGGTCCTCGGTGAGCAGGCGCAGCTGCACCGTGCACATCTGGATGAGCTCATCCAGCTGCCTCTCGGCCGCCTGCAGCTCCCGCAGCTCCTTCTCCAGCAGCCGGTGCCGGCCGGGCGCTCCCACGGTGGCCTGGCTGCCCCTGGGGAGCACCGTGTCCATCAGGAGCCAGACCCCACAGCTCCCTCTGCCCCCACCCAGGCTAAGCTACATCCCAGCCCACACCCAGGGAATCAGCCTTGTCCAGATTTCCCGGTAGAGTACAGCCCTGGGGTCCCTTCCCCGAGCCTGGATGCAGCCCCCCCACTCCCTGGGATGACTTGGGGAGCCCGAGGGGGACTCGCAGTGTTGGTATTCCTGTTTTGCCTGCTCAGGAGCCACCTGCCACTAAGCACAGCCCTTGCCCACAGGGAGCCAGCACTTGACCCGTGAGCAGATGCTCTGGTGACCCTGCTTTGAACTTCTCCACCCCGCTAAGACCCTGCTCTACCCTGAGCCTGGCCCAGACGGCTCTCCCTGCCCAGGGGATAGTCAGACACAGCCCTGTGAGCCCAGACAAGGGACATACAGCCACTGGATGTGGTTCTTGGATTTCTTGGTGATGAGCTGAATGCCCTCCAGGACATTGGTGATGTCGTAGATGCGCCTCTTCTGCACCTTCAGGACCTCGGCTGCCCAGTTGAGATCCACCACGCCATCAGGTGACTGGCTCAGGAGCTCCAGGAAGCGCTTGGTGGTGAGGTTCAGGGAGGTTTCATAGCGGGACTTCTCTCCAGGAGACTTTGCTCCTGCCAGCCACCGAGGACAAGTGTGATTTTAGCCACAAGGCTGGAGCTGAGAGGTCCCAAAACTACCCCCACGCTTGCAGGTGGCTCGTGCACCAGGGACCAGGCAACCCCAAAACCAATGTGCTTTCTCAGGGCAATGGGGTGAGCTCCCCAAACTCTCCACGGGAAGGATGCTGCAGGACCTGGCACAGGCCCTGACACCTGTGCTCCCTCCTGACCACAACCTCAGCTGTGCCAGGCAGGGCTCAGGGGGGAGATAACAGAAAGTCCACCCGGGACACTGCACCCACCCCATGTTGGCAGCTACAGCTCCACCCCACAGGGAGGGATGGAGCAGGTGTGGTGCCCAGCAGCTGGGCAGGACAACTGTGTCACCAGCCCAGGGGACAGCAGCAGCTGTGGACAGCGGACAGAAAGAGGTCAGCCCCAGGAACAAACTGACACGAAGGAAAAGGAAGAAGCTGCCTGTGGGAGCTGAGTGGGGCTGCAGCACCCCTGCTCTGGGCTGGGCTGTCAAGGGGGGGGTCAGGGAAAGCAGTACCTTTAGCAGGGTTCCTGGCCTTGCCCCGGACCACCGGCAGGCTCTCTGCTATGTACTGGTGATCTGTCTCCAAGTTCAGTTTCCTCTTCACCTGCAAGGGATGGGGCCATCAGAGGGGAAGCGACCATCCCACTGCTCATGGAACGTGACCCCGTCGCGGGGGGCCCCGCCAGGCTGCGGGAAGCGCCCCAAGGCCGGCGCAGGCCGCGGTGGGGGAGGCAAAGCACGGCCCAGCGCCCGGGCCTGCGGCTTCCGGAGCGGCAGCGGGGCAGGGCCGGCCCGGTAGGTGCTGCGTGGCACGGCCCGGCTGTACAGCGGGGCACGGCCGAGAACGGCCTGGCACGGAGCAGGGCATGACATATGGCACAGCACGGGGCAGAGCAGGGAGCAGCACGGCCCGGCCCGGTTCGGTGTACAGCACGGCTCGCTATACAGCCCAGCTCGGTATCGCACGGCTCGCTGTACAGCTCGGCCTGGTAAACAGCCCAGCTCGTTGTACAGCCCGGCTATACAGCGCGGTCGGCTATACGGCCCGGTCTGTACCCAGCCGGCTCGAAGCGGTCCAATACTGCACGGCCCAGTACACAGCCCGGTCCCCGCAGCCCCCGCCCGCCCACCGCCCCCCCCCCGTCCCGCTCGCGGGGGTTACCGGCGGGCGGCCCAGCGCGGGCCGTCTGGGCGCGGCGCCGGGGCGGGCGGGCTGCGGCGTGGCGAAGAGCAGGAGGTCGGTATCGGGGTGGCCGCCGCCGCCCGCGGGCTCCTCGGCGGCGGCGGCGGCGGAGACGATGAGGAGGTGCGGGGAGGCGCTGCCCAGCAGCGCCGCCAGCCCCGCCGCGCCGCCCGCCGCCGCCATGGCTCACATGGCAGCCGGTGCCGCCGGGGCGGCGGGCGGCGCGGCGGGCA